GGTGTTTTTGGCCACTGTATGCCACAGAGTGTTGGACTGGATGGGCCACTGGCCTGATCCAACACTGGCTTCTCTGATGTTCTTAAAATAATTTATTTACAGCATTTGTATAGCACCGTTCCACTCCAGGCAATTTAAGTAGCCATTTAAAAGTATTTAAGAACATAAGAACATAAGAGATGCCAATGTTGGATCAGGCCAAAGGCCCATCCAGTCCAACACTCTGTATCACACAGTGGCCAGAAATACCAGGTGCCACCAGGAGGTCCAGCAGTGGGGCCAGGACACTAGGAGCCCTCCCACTGTTGATCCCCCCCCCAAGCACCAAGAAGACAGAGCATCCCTTGCCCCAGAGCCCCTATCTATACCTTGTGGCTAAGAGCCACGGATGGACCTCTTCTCCAGATGCTTATCTAATTCCCTCTAATAATAACATAAGAGACGCCAATGTTGGATCAGGCCAAAGGCCCCTCCAGTCCAACACTCTGTGTCACACAGTGGCCAGAAATACCAGGTGCCATCAGGAGGTCCAGCAGTGGGGCCAGGACACTAGAAGCCCTCCCACTGTTGACCCCCCCCCAAAGCACCAAGAAGACAGAGCATCACTTGCCCCAGAGCCCCTATCTATACCTTGTGGCTAATAGCCACTGACGGACCTCTGCTCCATATGCTTATCTAATTCCCTTTTGAAGCCGTCCATGCTTGTAGCCACCACCACTTCCTGTGGCAGTCAATTCCATGTGTTAATCACTCTTTGGGTGAAGAAGGACTTCCTTTTATCCGTTCTAGCCCGACCGCTCGGCAATTTAATGGAGTGCCCACAAGGAGTTCTTGTATTGTGAGAAAGGGAGAAAAGTACCTCTTTCTCTACCTGCTCTTTCCCACGCATAATCTTATAAACCTCAATCATGTCAGCCCTCAGTCGTCGTTTCTCCAAGCTAAAGAGCCCTAAGCGCCTTAACCTTTCCTCACAGATACCCGAATGTGTCGTTTGGCCCCATCTCCTACTCCCCGGTGCACTTTGTGGTCACTTTTATTTGTTCTTCAGACCCACTCCAAGGAAAAACAAATTAACTGGAGGTTTCTAACCAAGACTGACAAAGAATCCATTCAGCTTCTCTGAAGTCTCCCTATCCTCCTCTAGCACACCTGTGCCATCTTCTGTCCCTGTCATGATCTGGGCTGTGCCACCAGAGGCCTACTAGGCCCAGGGAGCCTGGCTAGCAGTAGGGGAGGCTGGGCCTACAAATCCCAGAAGGCCTTGGGAAATGTTGGCGCCGATTTTGACCAATAGGGAAGAAGAGGGCAGGGGAATGAAAGAACTGGTACAAGGGGGGAAAGCTGTTCTTCCCAGGAAACAGGGCCAGAAGGGACTGAGGCTGCTGTGGGGAAGAAACCCTCATCCTGAGGGAAGGGTGAATAGTCTAAGGCCACTTGAGATAGTGAGCTAGGGACAGTATATATTTAGACGCACTAGGGCATTTGATTTCTTTTCTTTCCACACACTTATTGTTATTATTCTGCACCTTGTTTGTTATTCGGCTAAAAGGGAGGTCTGAAAGGCCTGGGAGGGTGCTCTGGGCCTTCTCAGAGAAGCCTGGAACCAGAGTGGTGGCAGTGTCAGGTGACACCCCACCTGAGCCGTGACAGTCCCCAAGACCTCCCAGCTGCTTTCTTCCTTCTCCTGTACTTCAAGAAGTTTTACTGTCTGTCAGAATGGCTTTGAGCAATACATTCCTCGGTTGTTTGATGGCCTGTTGCCAACGTGCCCCTCGTTCTGCCAGACTCTGGGCTCCTTTTACACTTGCTTCGTTTGGGCAAGGCTCACACTTTCCCAAGGAAACCTCCTTGCCTTTCCACCTTGACCCTGCAATCCTTGGACTCAAGTGGTCCCTTTCCTCTGTCCTGCTGCAGGAGGCATTGTATTTGAGCTTCCGGTATCATGGCTGGAAATGGTCACCACCACAGTGCTGACATCCTCCTAATTTGGTTATGCACGAGAGGTGCCAAGACGGGAAGGAGGGAAAGGACTCTCTGCAAGGGAGCAGGAGATCCAAAGAGAAAGGGGACAGGAGCAATGACGGGAAAGGCTCTGCCAAGACACAGGCCGAGAGAACAGGGAGGGCCAGGCCGGGGGGGGGGCGACCTCCAGCAGTGCTCACCATCCTCCCGGAGCAAAATGGCCAGGTAGTCGTTCACAAAGGTGCTGACGTAAAGCAGGACAGCCGGGGCTGAGGAGGTGCGGAAGCTGAGACCCACTATCTCCTCGGTCAGGTTGTAGCCCGGCAACGGCTGAAGGGGTTGGCGGACGATGTTGGAAAACTCCTGCACCACGTGCATGGGCATTGTCATGATGTCGTAGCGCACCCAGTTTCCTTGCTCAAAGTAGGCACCGATATCTGCAAAAGACAGCAAGGAAGCAGCGCAGACGTCGCGGGGAGAGGAGTGCTGCTGTCTTGCCCGGCCTCTGCCCGGCCCTCGGGGCTCGCGTCCTCCCTGCTTCCCTCCTCCCCACCCTCGGCACAAAGCTCTCACCTTGGTGGCAAAAAGACCCTTCGTAAGCAGAGACACTGCAGTTGCAGGTGTAGTGGTTGTAGTGCTCCACACAGGTGCCGTAGTTCTGGCAGGGCACCAAGGGGCGGCGGCAGTGTCCAGTGCAGTTCACCAGGACCCCGAGGGTCTCATTGGCCTTCCCCTCCAAATTGAGGGTCACCCCATTCATGCGCAGGCCCCGCAGGCAGCCCAGGAAGGGGCGCAGACTGTAGATGCCGGAGCCTATGAGAGAGGGACAGAGAGGGCTGTAACACAGAGCAAATGTAATCCATTTAATACATAAAGAAAGAAATTCCTGAGCGGAGACAAAAATGTGTGAGCTGGAGGCTTAAAAAACTGTGAGCTAGCTCACACCAGCTCAGCTTAGAGGGAACACTGCTCCTAACCTCCGGCGCTGACACCAGTGGCGCCCCGTCAAAGGTCGGTAGTGGGATCCCTAACCCTGGGCCACTGCCGCTCAGGCACAGGTCTTTGTCGGATTCAATTTCCGTCAGCTCAGCCTAAGCCACCCAGCTACGGCTTGAAATGCAAGGTCCAGCTCTTCCGGTTTTGAGTCAGACTGGCCTCCCAACAACTGATATAAAATAAGATCTGCCTTTCAAGTTTTTCCCTCTGCACCCCCGCCTTCATAGGCGGCGGGGGGGGGGGCAACTCAATACAGGGCATTTCCTGTGGTGACACCTTGCCTCTGGAGAACGCTCTCTTCCCCTTGAGGCCTGGCCTGGCCCCTCTGTCCGGAACCTGGCCAAAACACATTTTTTTAACCCAGGCTTTTAATTAGTGGTTTTATCTTCTCAGCTTTTTTTAAACACCTTGCTTCTGTTTTTATGCTGCCTGTGTCCTGTAGCTTGTAAAAACTTGTAACGTTCATAAAAACGTTATACTGTGATGTTTTAATGGTTTGTTTTTATATTGTGAGGTGTGGTCCTATGCAGACTTTTCTGGAATAAAGAGAAATACATGGTGACTTTTTTAAAGTGCCAGCTGCCTCAAGCGTGACTGTGAACAGGCAGCATAAGCATATCCTAAGCAGCTTAATAAGCCATAGTAAAGGTAAAGCTTCCCTTGCTCGAAAGCCAGTCGAGTCCAACTCTAGGGTTGCGGTGCTCATCTCCGTTTCCAAGCCGAAGAGCCAGCGCTGTCCGAAGACGTTTCCGTGGTCATGTGGCCGGCATGACTAAACACCAAGGCGCACGGAACACTGTTCCCTTCCCACCGAAGTGGCACCTCTTTATCTACTTGCAATTTCTTGCTTTCGAACTGCTAGGTTGGCAGGAGCTGGGACTAGAGACGGGAGCTCACTCCGTCATGCGGCACACTCGGGTCTCGAACTGCTGAATGACTGACCTTCCACAGCCTGCAGTTCAGCGTCTTAACCCCTTGAGCCACCGCAGCTCCTGTTAATTTTAATAAGCCATATGGAAGTGCTTAACAGCCATGTAGCAAAGGATGCCTCTCTCACACACACGCACCCACGCACGCGCACACAGAGGGTTCCGCCCCCAGCTGGTCCTCACTTACCCACGTAGAGCAGTCTGGTGAGGTTCATGTGGACAAAACTCTGAGCGGGGGCCGCTCTCACCACCCAGGGCATCCGGTCAACTCGCAGCCGGGCTAACTTGACGTTGATTTCTGCCTTGACCTGATGCCACTCATTATCGTTGAAAGGCATCTCCGAGTGCACTGTCAAATTCTCGTCACCGTTCCCGATGTCGTAGGCAAAGACCAGATCCCGGGAGGCTGGAAGGGAGGAGGAGAACAGAGGCACTGCGGGGGCCGTCCTGTGCTGCAGAACTCGCCAGCCCCATCTCCTCCACGTGGAGGGGAAAGGCCTCGGACTCTCCAGAGGTATCTATGCCCAGGTTCCTGCGCCTCTCCTGCAGTGGAGGCCCTGCCCATCCATCAGCACAAAAGGGGAGGGCGTCGCTTTCCTCTCCCCTGCCCCTCACAGGTCTCCCAATTCCTTACAGGTTCGGGGCAGAATAATTCTAAGGACTTCCTGACAAACGGAGACCTCAGCGGCTCGTCCCGGGCCCCTGCATCATGGTGCAAGACATCATGGGCTGTGACACGGATCCCTGAGAGCGCGGCACTTGGGCAGCTCTTCTGGACAGAAAGGGATTCCAGAAGGACGTTGCACACAGAATAATAGAATGTTAAGAGTTGGAAGGGACCTTGCAGGTCATCTAGTCCAACCCCCTGCACTCTGCAGGAGCGTAGCCGAAAGATAGCCCTACAACAAGGCCTTGCAAAGTGGCTCCAGAGGAGCCGTGCGCTTGGGATTTTAAAAGGCGGGCGGTGTCAACCTCTTTCACAAGAGCTGAAAAGGCACAGCTGTCAGCTGACCCTCTGGCACTGCTGCCATGGCTGGGGGCGGGGAGATGGTGGTCTGCCTCCACACTGGAATCTTAAGTTTCGTTTCTTCTATGTTCTTCTGATCTATGTAGCCTCAGCTAGTGACCTTGGTACCTTGATACAGCTTTCCCCTGGGAACGTAGATCCATTAGGTTAGGTGGGCATTTGCTTGTGCCCTGACTGGACCTGGGCCATCAAGGGACCCTTTTGAATTATGTATAACTCCTCAGGGTTTCGAAGAGGTAGAGGAACTAGAGATCAAATTGCCAACATTCGCTGGATTATGGAGAAAGCAAGAGAGTACCAGAAAAACATCTACTTCTGCTTCATTGACTATGCTAAAGCCTTTGACTGTGTGGATCACAACAAACTATGGCAGGTCCTTAAAGAGATGGGAGTACCAGACCACCTCACATGTCTCTTGAGAAACCTGTATAAGGGCCAAGAAGTGACAGTTCGAACCGGATATGGAACAACTGATTGGTTCAGCATAGGAAAAGTACGACAAGGATGTATATTGTCACCTTGCTTATTTAATATACATGCAGAGCACATCATGCGAAATGCTGGCCTGGACGAATCACAAGTGAGAATTAAGATTGCTGGGGGGGAAATCAACAACCTCAGATATGCAGACGATACCACTCTAATGGCAGAAAGTGAAGAGGACCTAAAAAGCCTCTTGCTCAGGGTAAAAGAGGAGAGCGGAAAAGTGGGCTTGAAGCTGAACATCAAAAAAACTAAGATCATGGCATCCGGCCCCATCACTCCTTGGCAAATAGAAGGGGATGTCGTGGAAGTAGTGACAGACTTCACATTCCTGGGATCCCAAATCACCGCAGACTGTGACTGCAGCCATGAAATTAAAAGACGCCTGCTCCTTGGGAGGAAAGCGATGGTGAACCTAAACAGCATGATAAAAAGCAGAGAAATCACCCTGCCAACAAAAGTCCGCATGGTCAAAGCAATGGTATTCCCAGTAGTCATGTATGGCTGCGAGAGTTGGACTATAAGGAAGGCCGAGCGCCGAAGAATAGATTCTTTTGAACTAGGGTGCTGGAGAAGACTCTTGAGAGTCCCTTGGACTGCAAGGAGATCCAATCAGTCAATCCTAAAAGAAATGAACCCTGACTGTTCCCTGGAAGGCCAGATAACGAAACTGAAGCTCAAATACTTTGGCCACCCAATGAGAAGGGAGCCCTCACTGGAGAAGACCCTGATGCTGGGAAAGACTGAAGGTCAAAGAAGACGGGGACGGCAAAGGATGAGATGGTTAGACAGTGTCATAGATGCAACGAACATGAAATTGAGCCAACTTCAGAGGACAGCGGAAGACAGGAGGGCCTGGCGGGATCTTGTCCATGGGGTCGCCAAGAGTCGGACTCGACTGTGCGACTGAACAACAACAACATAACTCCTCACTGGGCGCACTTTCCAGTAATTCTAACACAGAATGTATGCACAGAAGACCGGCTTTTACTGTACTCAATACACTTTGCTCCAAAGCAAACTGATTTATGCAGTAGCCAAATTGCTCGCTCACAGCTTTAAAGCCAGTAGCTCACAAGGTTGAATTTTTGCTCACAAGACTTCACAGCTTGGAGGGAACATTGCCTCCTAGTGCTGGGTTGCAGAGTTTTACTGCCTCTGGATATGGGGATTCCCTTTGCTCACCATGGCTAGTAGCCACTGATGGACCTACTCTCCACGAATCTTTCTAAAACCCCGCATTTGTAAAAGCATCTATACAAATGGCCATCCCTCCATCCAGTGGCAAAAAATCTCATCTTTCTGACTAATCCCCTATATTTTTCAAAGTTCCCCCTTCTGAAGAAAAAAGTGATTGTTCTAGACTTTGGGAACATCTTTCCACTGACATGAATGCTGAACTTAGTAGCACTGCGGTCGCTGTTCCTAGAAGTGTAACAAAATCTGCATCTTGAGCTCAGAACCAAGTCCAGATTTGCTACACCTTTAGTCAGCTCTATAACCAACTGCTCCCATGCGATCATTTATGATATCTAGAAACTTCATGTCCACAGTATCACCCAAACACAGATTTGCTCTGTCAAAGTGAGGGCAGGTGAAGTCATCTAGTATTACAATATTTTCCACCTTAAGTCACCACTGGAAACGACGACCAAGGTATTATCAAGGGTTGGTTACAGGGATCGTATTACCCCTGTGCTGAAAAATCTCCCCCGGTTAGCTGTTTTCTAAGCACCAGGGCTATTTTTGGGCAGGAACGCACAGGAACAGAGTTCCGGCTGGCTCCCAAGTTGGCCACGCCCAGCAGGAACTCATTAGCATAATAGGCCACACCCAACAGCAGGAACTCATTAGGATTGGCTACGTTAGGGGTGTGTGGCCTAACATGCAAAGGAGTTCCTGCTACAAAAAAGGCCTTGGGTGTTGACAACAAACAAGGTAAACAGAATAAGAAGCAAAAGGTGGGTGTGGCTGGATGACCACACTTCTGGTAACATGGGGGTGCAGCCTAATGTGCTAATGAGCTGTGCTGTCAGGGGATTGGCCTAATATGCTAATGAAGTTCTGCTGTTGGGTGTGGCCTGTTATGCCAATGAGTTCCTGCTGGGCTTTTTCTACCAAAAAAAAAGCCCTGCTAAGCACAATTCAAAAGGCTGGTTCTTACATTTACCCTGGCTTGGGGCCAGGGTATCTGACGGACTGTCTCCTCGCAGCCCACCAATCGAGATCCGCTTCTCAAGCCCTGTTCTCCCTGGCCACACCTTCAGAGTTGAGGTGGATGCTGACTACAGACGGGGCCTTTCCTATGGTGGCCCCTCATGCCTGCATGGCCTCTCCTTTGAGGCTTGTCTGGTACCTGCTTTACTTTCTTTTAGGTGCAAGGACAAAATACATGTTTTTACCACTTTCAATTAGAGGTATCAATCCAATAATTTAATTTAGTTTAAATTAATAATTTAATGTGAGTTATCAATTCAATAAGGTATCTGTTTAGGGTTGCCAAATCGGACTTACCTCGCCGGTGGGGGACTCTGGGGTGGCTCCCGGAGCGCGCGCCGCATGCACGTCACTTCCAAGTGACGTCATGACGCCGGACATTTGAGGGGAAAACATAGAGTTTTCCCCTCAAATGGCTATGGCCCCGCCCCCAGCGTGCCCGGCATCATGACGTCACTTGCCTGTGACGTGCCGGATGTGGGTGGGGTTTCCCCCGGGGCCCGATTCCGCGGTGTCGGAAATCGGGCCTCCAAAGCGGGGGGGGGGGGAATCCGCCCCCCGGGGGGACTTGGCAGCCCTATATCCGTTACATTGCCTTCGCCCCCACCCCACGAACACAGAACTCCGTACTGTTGAGTTCCACACGGATGTAGTTCCTTCGGCCCACATTCTCCAGAAAAGTGCCTGATGGGGCAGACGTCTTGAAGAAGAAGCTGATATCAAGGCTGTAGTTGACCTGGAAGGTGGGGAAGAGCAAGGCCGTTCCGTTGGTGAAGGAGACGGTGTTCCAGGAGTTGCCTGCAAGCCACAAAAGGAGGGATTACAGGAAGGGTCTGGTGTGGCACCCCAAGGGGGGCTCCTGCCCATCTCCTCACCACCCCATCTGCTACTCACGGTCTCCATAGCACCGTAATGGGCCCAGCGTGAACTGGGCCGTTGATCCCGTGCGGTTTGTGTCGGTCACGACAACCTGAGTAACTGGAAGGTGGTCTACAAAATTCAGTAGCCCCTTATCTGTCCGCCTGCAATACAGAGGAGGCCGGTGTGGAAAACAGGGCCTGATAGGTCAGAGCCAGGTTCCCCTCCTTTATCACCTGTTTAAAGGGAGGTGGGGACTCCCCCCACTCACCACATGGCATGGTCAGCATCGCAGTTGCAGTAGAAACGGGGGTCTGCACAGTTCTTCTCCATGCCACAAGCGCAGCGCCCCAGCCCTGGCGGGGAGCCCCCCCAGTAGTAATGGCGCTCGAGATTCCGGCCCATCCAGAAGCTCAGGGGCATCCCGGCTGAAAGGCAGCAAGAAAGTGATGAGATGAGAGGCTGGGGTGGAGCAAGGAGAGGATAGTTAGATGGCGGCATGTATCCATCACTAGGGATGTGCAAGGAAAAAAACCCAGTATTTTTCAGATTCGGAGTTTTTGAAAAAATCGGTATTGCCTTGAAAACCTGAATTCCACTATCGGTATTGTATTAGAATTCGGGTAACATTCAGGAATCCCAAATTTTTCAGCTCCATTATACCCTATGGGGCCATCATAGTCAATGGCAAATTTCCTAGGGTATATTCAGTGGGCAGGGGCAGAGGGGGTTTGAGGTAGAGGCAGGGGTCATTTCCTGCAGGAGCGCACAGGAGCGGAGCTCCGGCAGTAAAGAGCCCAGGGGGCGGGCACGTGCAACAAGCCCCGCCCCCTGCTCCCAGCAGCCCTCAGTCAGAGGAAGAAGCAGCCAGGTAAGTTGCAGAGCTCCCCCCGGTCCAAAACAGTCCAGTGGCACCTTTAAGACCAAGTTTTATTCAGGTACAAGCTCTCCCTCCTCTGCGAGGACAGAGCTGCACTTTTTCCCGCCCCCATAGCTAGCAATCCAAAACCGTCCAGTGGAGCCTGAGCGGTGGGTGTGGCCTTCTGACACACTTCCCGTGACGTCAGGGGGTGTGGCACATGCTAATGAGTTATGCTAATGAGCTCCTGCACCTCTTTTTCTACGAAATGAGCCCTGGGTAGAGGCACCAAAGAGGCGGCTGAAGCCAAAAGAATCCCCAAGATTGCACCAGGGGGTCCAGTGCTATGGGCACTCAAAGAAGGTGCTCCCATCTTCCACTGTTTCCAATGGTGGTGGGGGGTGGGGGGAAGCAAGGCAGGCATACAACAAGCCCAGCAGATTCTCGCAAAGAATCTCTGCAGTAGAAAGTGAAGTGTGGGGACTCGCAGTGTTCCCTCTCAGCTGAGTGTGAGCTAGCTCACAGTTTTTAAGCCTCCGGCTCACACATTTTTGCCTTAGCTCAGGAAGGATGGGGCTCCAGAGCAAACTAGTTTATGCAGGAGCCAAATCGCTGGCTCACAACTTTAATGCCCAGTAGCTCACAAAGTAGAATTTTTGCTCACAGGACTCCACAGCTGAGAGGGAGCATTGGTGGGGAGGGGCATGTTTGCAAGGCCAGCAGCAGAACCAGGGCCAAAACCCAACAGGACTAAGGTCAAATCTGAGAATCTCCATTGTTTCCAGTGGTGGGAAAAAGCAAGACAGACGTACAACAAGCCCAGCGGATTCTCCCAGAGAGTCTCTGCAGTAGAAAGTGAGGTGTGGGGGAGGGGGTATGTTTGCAAGGCCACCAGCAGAACCAGTGCAGTGTGCCCAGCAGAACCAGTGCTGTTCTGGCAGGGCCAAAACCCAACTGAGAACAGCATCCAGTCTCCTAAGAATTTCAGCTCTCATACTTATGGTAAACCTTAAGTTGTTGTGGCCACAAAGAGTCTGTCCGTTGGTCGTAGTTACAGTGCTGGAGCAGAGCTGGGTGATGGTCACAGTTACGGTATTAGAGTAGACCTCAGCTTTGCAGTTCACCGGCTGACCTCAGGCCAGTCACACATGCCCTACCTCACAAGGTTGTTGTGAGGGTAACAGGGAGGAGGGGGAAACCGTGGGAAGGAGAAACGTGTGCTAAAGAAAGGGACGAAATGAAAGGGTGTGGGAGATGCCGTCAGAAGCCACAATAGGCCTGAATGATTCCTAATGCCGGCAGGACAGCTCGGCAATGCTTCAAAAGGCCCTTTGCCGTCTCGAAATGAAGAGAGAAAAAAAGCAGAAAGGATTATGCACACTAACCAGAGGTCATTTCGGGGGGGATCGCAGGGGATCGCAGTTCCCCCGGGTGAGGTACGGGGGGCAGGGCACATGACGAAGCCCCGCCCCCTGCTTCCGGCCGCCCCGCTTCCGGCCCTCATTCAGCCAGGAGGAGGCAGGAGAAGAGGGAGGGTAAGTTGCTTCCTCCCTGCCTCTCCCCACCCCTGCCTGCCTGGGGCCAGGGAGGGCCTTCGCGGGGCTTCCTTGCACTCCCGCCGGCCTTGCAGGTCCACCGCCGGGCCCCTCATGGGGCTCGGCAGTGGAGCTGCAAGGCCGGCGGTGGCGGCCGGGACCGTTGGGGGCGGGGTGTGTGGCCTTATGACACACTTCTGGTGATGTCAGGGGGTGTGGCATATGCTAATGTGTTATGCGAATGAGTTCCCCTAGCTCTTTTTCTATGAAACGACCCCTGACACTAACCATCAGTTATGCACTGGAAATTTCCCCAAGTCACAATTCGGCTGTACGCGTCCCAAAATCCGTGTGCTAGCAAGAAAACCCACCGAGCCCACGGGATGGCCCCCCCCCCACACTTACTCTGGGTGTTGAGCAGGCGGGAGAGGTAACAATTGAACTCTATGCGTTGCTCACAGTACTCCGAGGCATTGGCCAGGGCCGACACCTCACCCCAGGAGGCATTCCAGTAGTCTACCGAGCCCAGGAAGGGCCTCTCTGGGCTGTAGCCGGTCACTCGGGTAGCCCAGTACCGATTGTGCCACACAGTGGTCCACGCCCGGTCCTCTGCACGAGACAAAAAGGAAGTTCCAGTGTGCGTTCTGCAGAACGGCTTCTGCTCTCTACACTTGGGCCCAAACAGATACAACCAGGGTTCCCTCTAAGCTGAGTGAGTGTGAGCCAGCTCACAGTTTTCCAGCCTCCGGCTCACACATTTTTGTCTTAGCTCGGGAAGGAGGGCTCCAGAGCAGTGTTCCCTCTAAGCTGAGTCAGTGTGAGCTAGCTCACAGTTTTTCAGCCTCCGGCTCACACATTTTTGTCTTAGCTCAGGAAGGAGGGCTCCCGAGCAAACTAATCGATGCAGGAGCCAAATCGCTCGCTCACAACTTTAATGCCAGGAGCTCACTAAGTAGAATTTTTCCTCACAAGACTCCCCAGCTTAGAGGGAACATTGGATACAACGTTAAAAAAAAGTCTGTGATTAGGGCTTGCCGAGGTTTTGAAAAGCCAATTTCCAGCTGCAGCAGGCAGCTTTGAAGGTTGGGGTGCCAGGTGAAGACGCGGGTGACTGGTGTTGAACCCATGCCCCCAAAGCAGCAAATCGCCTTTCATGAGGCATCAAAAAAGGTCTTCCTCCCCTGCATCCAACGAACGCAGATTTGGAGGGGCATCTTAAGCCAAGCAGCAGTTAAACACTCTTGCACTCAAATTCCACTCATTCAGCCAGGTCAGCTCTGAAAACCTGATTTATGTATTACAGGACAGAAAAGTTACTTGGGTTCATCTCTATCAGCTCATCAGTTTTAGAGCAGACCTTTCCTTAGTCCAACTGACCAGCACTATAGGTATGGTCTCTAGAATTTATACGATTCTGATTTCTAATCTTTCTGCTAGTTTGACGGTTTTTAAAAAATATGGCAAAACGATCTTAACAATTCCTAATGTGCCATAAAATTCAGACTAAACCATGGCTTAAAACAGCAGCTGCTAAGAGCAAGGAAATTTCCTTCAAAATAATACATTGATAGTTCATGACAGTGTTGAAGTTAATATCACATTCCGACTCAGTAAACACCTGATTGCAGGAAACCTAGGCAGTGTTTATGTACAGCCTTCCTGGTTTCAGATCTAGAAGGAGACCACCCCGATAACTCAACAGAACGTCCTCTTGAATCCACATCAATTGTTAATAAGGATTTTTTGAGAATAAAAATGTGCTGCATACGGTTGCCAGCCTCCAGGTGGGACCTGGGGATCTCCCGCTTTTGCAACTGGTCTCCAGCTGGCAGAGATCTGCTCCCTGGAGAAAACGGCTGCTTTGAAGGGTGGACTCCATGGCATTGTACCATACTGAAGCCCCTACCCTACCCAAACCCCACCCTCTCCTGGATCCACCCCCAAAGCCTCCAGGTATTTTCCAACCCAGACCTGGCAACCCTAGTGCTGCATAAAAGTCTTCTCTCCTCTCCTCTCACCTCAGCCACAAGATCAGAAATGGCTACGGAGAAGGGGAGAATGAGGCGCCCCACCCTGAGGTCCTTAGAGGAAGGACAAGATAAAAATGTAATGGATGGACAAGCAGGCCGGCAGGGCCCCCTTCTTCCCTCCATACCTTGAATATCACAGTAGACAACGAAAGGCTTCAGGGGTCCGCTGCCATCTGGGTCAATGGTGTAGTTGCCAGACGCTTTGCCGCTGAGTCGATAGGCATCGCACGTCTCCTTGTAAACCGCTGCCAGAGGAAGGAAGCCAGAGGTTGGTGGGCAGAGCAGCCCTCCTGGTCCTCCCCCACCCTGTCCCCGTGGCTCAACCGTGTCTCACGTTTGTGGCAGGTCTCCCCCTTGTAGCCTGTCAAGTCACAGATGCAATGGAAGTCATCCCAGGACTGGATACAGCGACTGCCATGTTCACACATATTAGGAGTACACCTGAAAACATGGGGGTGGAAGCAAATCAGTACTAAAACAGGGGCTCCTGGTATACCCCTGAATACTAGTATTTATGCCCTTCCCGAAATCTGAATCCCCCAAATACCATTTTTTGTTGCTTTCAGTTGCACATCCCTAGTGCAGTACTGAGAGAAAAGGTAGATGCTAGAATTGATGGAATGAGAGGTAAAAGAGGTTGGAGTTTTGTTGACGTATTTGGAGATAACTTATGGATTATGATATATGGAAGGAAGATTAAAACATATGGAACGTATCAGGGACATTAGCAGAGCCTTGGGGTTATACTGGACCCCCAGCTATTGCCGAAGAAACAAGTTCATGCAGCTGCAAGACACACCCTTCCTCTCAACTCAGCCTCATATGGCACCTGGATCCACACCACAGTAATACAGAGACTCGACTGCTATAACGCACTGGTCTCCTCTCTGAATCAACTCGGAAACTCCAACTGGTGCAGAATACTGTGGGGCTCAGCTATTATCAGGAGCTAGACACAGCATGCATATTAATCCTTGTGACGTCCTCCTTATTGGAGAGGACTAGTTTCCCTTTAAAAGTTCTCTTTATTTTGCTTAACTGTGTAGATTCTGCTGCCACCAGGAAATTTTAAGGATTTCCAAACCTTTATGCTTATAATGTTGCTCTTACTAGTTTGGTAGACCGAGTTCAAGGCTTACGAGGAACTATGTGGTCCTGGGAAGTATTTCATTCAGAGCTGGTATAAACTTGAATAAAAGAGGATTTATTGAAATAAATACTAAATAAGAGGGTGATACAATGTAACTAGTAATGTGTAAATGATGAATAGTTGCTTTGGTATCACACACAATCTTCTCCCTCACTGACAGGGATCTTTTCATGTAACTTTGTAACACTTGTTTATCTCAATGCCCTATATGTTCACTGTTTCACTCCAGTTTGTTATGACACTCAGACTTTCCTTTAACTTTTCTTCACTTAAACTGTACTTTACTTTTTCCTATACATTCAGCTTTCAGCTCTCTTTCTCTTTCTCTTTCTCTCTGAACAACCTCAGCTGTCAGCTTCTCACTGCTTCAACACAGAACTCCTTGTCTACCTCAACTGTCAACTTGTAACTGAAACTCTTGACTGACTCACATACTCATTCACCCAGATTCACTTCCAAAACCCCTCCCTCTCTCTGTCAACCACCAATCATACCACATTTGCCTCTCTCAACCACTCTAGTCTATCTACCACAGCCATGCAACCAAACTTTTAAAGAGACACACACACACAAAAACAAGGAATCGTTACACTCTTATTCTGCAGTCACTCCACTGGCCGCCCATCAGTTACCGGGTTCAATTTAAGGTACTGGCTGTCACACACAAAGCCCTTCATGACCTTGGACCCTCACATCTGCGAGACGGCCTATGCTCCACCACGAGAGCTTCGCTCCTCAAAGCTGGGCCTTCGGCAGCTGCCAACCTGCAAATGGGCAAAATCAACCACTGCCCGCACCTGTGCCTCCTCCACTGTCGCCCCCATCCTGTGGAATGGCTGGCCTGAGGAGGTTGGGAGAGCCCAGTTATTCAAGGGGGCTTTTCTACACAGGCAAATGAGATGCACGATGCAGAAATGATTCACAAAGTTACTTGGATAAATGATGAGAGACTGTGGTCGATATTACTATATCTAGCTTGCTGTTAGTAGGACCCTGCTATGTCATTTTGCATAATTCTATGTGTCGTGTCAATACTTACACTTTGTTCCACGTCTGTTTTTAGGTTTCTGGTTGGTTCACATTGTTTACTGAATGTCGCATCCTGTTCATCCTATTGACTCACTCTGCGTAATCTGCCTTGAATCCCAGCAAGAAAGGCAAATAATGCAGGTAGATAAATAAACAAATTTTGGTATTGGAGTAACAGAGTTCTGGACATGAGGTTTCCATGCATGGAAATAGTGAGATGATAAATTAGGTTCATAAGAATCAGTCACAGAATTAATATATAGAGATATATATATTAAATGATGCAAAAATTACATCGTATGATCCTAGTTTCAGCAAGCTGTACACAGCAGGATAGACCACAGTCCCTAACAATATATCCAAGTAACTTTGTGAAACATTTCATACAGTGTGACTCTGTTGCCTGAGTAGAAAACCCTTTTTGAACAATTCAGTTTTGCACAGTTTGTAAAAAGCCAGGAGAGTTGGGAGCCTTCCTGAATATGAAACTGATCAGAGATTCAAAACAAAAGAACAACAACATAAGTATGGAAGCACTTTTGGAACAAACCTTTTTCTTACTGTTAAATTGTTACGTAACACAGCAGTTGGGGAGTTTCCTTCTTAACTACAGTTCTCAATGATATTATTTTGTGTGGCAATGCATTTGCAGTATTAATTCTCTTCAACAAACAATTCAGACCTTAGAGAATGGGAATTTAAGCAGGATGCTTTATTAGATAGACACTTAATTTTAAAATCACAGTCTGTAACCTGGTTCAAATCATTTAAGAATGACCATTTTAGATCACCTTACCTGGCTAACATAGATAACCATAACCTTAGAGCAGCTTTCACATCATTGCGCTTTGAATCAATGCCAACGGCCGTATTAGCTGGCCGCTATAGTAGAAACCTAAGGAACAGCGCTTATGTATTTGTGGCTCTCCCGTTATTGAGGATCTTTCCCATTACATCCTTGATTGCTCATTGTATATCCAACCTAGGCTAAAATTTCTCTCTGGTATTTTATCTGTTTTAAGCTTTTATTCAGACCCTGAGAAGACTGTATTTTTGTTAGCTGATTCCAATGTTAATGTATCCTATAGTATGGCTCTATTTGCCTTGGCTGCAAAGAAAATATGGGCCAACGTTGTTGCCAGGGGTACTAGTTAATATTTATCTTAGTGGGTATGCTGTGATTTAATTAACCGTTCATAACTTCGGTTTTATGGTTTTATAATATTTTAGACTGTACTCTATTTTATATAATTATCTATGTTTTATAGTATTTTTCTCTGTTTTTGGATTGTAATGGCCTATGGCTTAATACAATAAAACCCTCCTCTTTGGTCAAAATATTAATTGTATTTCTGGGTACTGTTGACTAGGGATGGGCATGAACCAAACTACAAACATAAGTTCATGGATCTTCCCTCCCTCCTTTCTGCCGGCAGAATGGAAGGAGGGGAAGATATCGCAAAAGCCATTTCAAGGGAATGTTCCCTTGAAATGGCTTTTGCAAGCGGGCACTGTGGCCGAGTTAAGTCCAAGTAGTGAGTTCACCCAGAAGTGAGTTCTCTTGGACTCCACTCCCACGTGGCGCCCACTTGCGACAACCATTTAACGGGAACGTTCCCTTTAAATGGCTTTTGTAAGATCTCCCCTCCCCCCTCCCATTCTGCTGGCCTCAGAGAGCTGCCACCAGCAGGAGGGAGGGAGAGAAGGTCCACGAACCTCACGAACCGAACCAGTTGGTGAACCGGGACGAACCTTCATTTTCCGGGTTCATATCCATCCCTAATGTTGACATAATATTGTTACTATACATTTTTTTAAAAAAGAAACTTAGGTCTAGGCGCCAGGGCTCTTTTTGTAGCAGGAACTCCTTTGCATATTAGGCGAAACACCCCTAATGGAGCCAATCCTCCAAGAGTTTACAGAGCTCTTCTTACAGGGGCTACTGTAAGCTCTTGGAGGATTGGCTCCCTTAGGGGTGTTTCGCCTAATATGCAAAGGAGTTCTTCCCAACCGCTAAGGAGCAGGACCAAATGACCAAGGTCTAGCCATCGTTTTGGTGTTTCAAACAATCCTATAATATCGGAGAACCGGTAGATACAAGCATAAGTGGCTGCTCTTGAAGCCACGTGACAGGGGACCCTCACATCCCTCTAGTGGACTGTCCTCCTCCTCCTCCTCTTCCTCACAAAAATTAAGAGGCTACGCAATGTTTGATACCAAGCTGCCCAACATGTTCAAGAAGACCAACAGCACCTGCTTCCTTAACTTTGCACTAAGGTGCACAACGGCCCCCATGGATTTGTTATACAAATTAATATCTAGTCAAAAATTGAAGATTGAAGTCAAAATGAGGAGGAAGTTCTTGTATTTTATTGCAATGAAATACAGAAAACAGTTCGGCCAAAGGACCCATCAAAGCTGACCGCTTTCTGAGCCCAATCAGGAAATACATGAAGTTAAACATATCATCATCATGGGAATAATATTCAGAAGGCATAATTGGTTACAAAAACGTAAACAACATTTACATAAAAATCTCCTTATTGGTCAAATGTAAGAAAGGTGTGTCTAGGCAATAGCGTCACATATTTACTTGGCATGACCTAAGCCATATCGGCTAAAGCTTGTTCTCACCCAAACAAAAGTGTTTTTCTCTGACACCAAGTAAAAGATCCTTTTGACCCAGACACTATGAAGTTGTAACCTAAAACAATTAGAACCATGAACCTTCTTTTGTACCAAAAGAATGTTATTGTCTTGTCTATTAACATCAACTAGAAAAATCCCCTTGACCCAGAAAGAAGAGAGGCCTTCTATATAGCAGGCCTTCATTACATTCCAATAAAATGTTAAATCTATAATAAACCTATAAAAACCAAAGCAATATGAATAATCAAAAAAGAGAAAAATCTATATAGTCCCATCTCTACTACAGATTCTTGGGTGAGGGGAAAAAATCTATCACTTTCCTGTATTCCAAGGGGAAATTTGTGACTTTACCAAGACTAAGAATAAGCACCATCTCCCTCTCAACAGCTACTCATTTCCCGCTGGAGAAAGAAACCATCAAGCCCATTCCACAGGACTAGAAGCCCTTTTGGTGACTGATTTCTGTTTAATCCTGCGTGGGTGCCACGCTCACCTGGCATTACAAAACTAATGTGCCTGCAGCTGCACATGCGGCCTTGGACAAAAGAGTTCCGCAGAGGGTTCTTCACCAGTAAGGATTCACAAGCCTATTACTATTGTATATCCTGAAGGACAATGAACGCCTGCCTCCATGGGAGAAAATGATAAATTTCTTACCATGACTGATTGCTCTAATCTCACCACCTTCTATCAGATGGGACTGGTACATCTTTCTGAATGGCGGGCACAGGTGGAAATGGGGGTAGGAATACTCAGGATCCCCCCCCCCCGGTTATTGTTTTACTTATTTTTCCAGTGTTTTTGCCTTGGTGGCAATGTTCCCTCTAAGCTGTGGAGTCTTGTGAGCAAAAATCCTACTTTGTGAGCTACTGGCATTAAAGTTGTGAACATGTATAAATTAGTTTGCTCTGGAGCCCTCCTTCCTGAGCTAAGAGAAAAATATGTGAGCTGGAGGCTAAAAAACTGTGAGCCGGCTCACACTAACTCAGCTTAGAGGGAACACTGCTTGGTGGTATTATTATTATTAATAATAATAATAATAATAATTAATTAATTAAACGTCTACCCCGCCCTCCCCACACATGGGCTCAGGGCGGCTTACAAACAGGGCACCATGTGCCAATACATAAAAACAGAGTAAAAACAAACACAACAACAACATTAAAATATAAAGTGCCCTATTATTATTCCGGGGGTGGGGGTGGGGTTGTTGGGGATTAGTCCTGGTTTGGAAGACTGGGGCTGCCAGGTTTGGAAAAATTCCTGAAGATTGTGGTAGTGGAGCTTGGGGAGGGCGTGGCCTAATGCTTCAGAGTCCATTCTCTAAAGCAGCCATTTTCTCCGGGGACAGTGACCTCCGTAACCTGCAGACCAGCTGTGATTCCAGGAGATCTCCAGCCACCCCCTGGGGACTGGGAACCTCCCACAGAGGAGTCAGTGACCTCACCCCCTGACTGGATGGAGAAGAGAGCGGGCACCCTCCTGCCTCACAGGAAAACAGAAATGTACTGTAAGAAACGTCGTTCTTCTCCTCTGGGCTCGTCTCCAACTCTGACCCCGACATCTGGCTATCCCACTGTGTCCCGCATTGCCTGCAGGGAGCACAAGATGGTGTTTCTGTGGTTCCCAGGGTCTCCCATCAAGGCACTGACCCGACTGAGCCCCGCATAACAACGGAAAGGGCGTCAAGTGCCATCAGCTCACGCCTTGGGCTCCTGTGAAGATTTCTGTACTCACAATCAAGCTGAATAACTGGGGAAATGCATAGCTTTGTAATCTAATTCAGTTCACTGGCTCATGGTGAAAAGGATTGCGCGTTCCCATCTCCTTGCCGTTTAAAGAGAACAAAGGCCACGGGAAGAGAGCTGTAAAACTCGAATCCTCGCGCGTCTGTGTGCCGGATGCTGTGGGATGTCTAACTAAAGACTTCAATTCCCAGGGACCACTGCTCTTAAAAACATATGGCAGTTCTACTTAACTGCAGTTTAAAACGCTGGCTGGGGCAGCACAGCTCCCGCAATACGACTTCTGCGGACTTGCTCGTTTGGGTAGGACCCTAGGTTCTGACACACGCCCCCTCCCCCCACAACTCAAGCCACACCTTTGCCGAACTAGAACTCTTCTTCCAGCAAGCATACCTATCTGTGATGCCGCACACGTTGAAGTACACCTCAAAGTACTTGCCCAGGCGATGCTGGCGAACCATATCTAATTCGATGGCCTTCCCGTCCACACTGAGCGTCTGCATGCACCCGTGGAAGGCGGTCTGGTTGGAGAGGCAGCCGGTCCGCAGAGCTGGCTTGGGGCAGCCTGGAACACACAAGACAACAGCCAAAGGAGAAGCGCGGCGCTCACCACTCACAGGCAGATCCCGGGGGGTCAAGACTGCCCGCGGGGCATCCCTGTCCTCGTCCCCTTGACCACAAACGGGTGGAAGCGGCCTCAAGTGGCCCAGGGCGAGAGAAAGGCCCTCCGCCATCACTCCATGGGACTCCGCTTGCCATTTCCAGGTCCCAGCTGTAACGTGCAGCTCAGCATGATGGAGCAACAGAATCTTGGACGGGATGAAATTAGGCCAGGCTGGGCCCCTCCAGGTCAGGGCAAATCACACTGGCACTAAGTACATCTAGGGAGAATGGTCCCTCAGGGCTCTTTTTGTAGAAAAAGCCCAGCAGGAACTCATTAGCATAATAGGCCCCACCCAAGAGCAGAAACTTGTTAGCATATTAGGCCACACCCCTGCCAGCACAGCTCATTAGCATATTAGGCCGCACCCCCATGTCACCAGAAGCGTGGTCATCCAGCCACACCCACCTTTTGCTTCTTATTCCGTTTACCTTGTTTGTGGTCAAAACCCAGAGCTTTTTTTGTAGCAGGAACTGCTTTGCATGTTAGGCCACACACCCCTAATGTAGCCAATCCTAATGCGTTCCTGCTGTTGGGTGTGGTCCATTATGCTAATGAGTCCCTGCTGGGCGTGGCCAACTCAGGAGCCAGCCGGAACTCCGTTCCTCTGCGTTCCTGCCCAAAAAATAGCCCTGGTCCCTGTACGTTTCCTGATTACAGCTGAAATCTTCATAAGTAGGTTACTTATTTATTTTTGTTTATTTACTTGATCGTTTTGTTTTCTCACTGAGACTCAAGATGGGATTACAGGATACAGAGCACTGCAATCAGACGGCACGTTAAGCCCACGGACAACACGACAGCCCTGGGATTACGGCATCAGAGAACAACGTGAACTCGGGTTGCCAACATCCAGGTGGGGCCTGGCAAACTCTTGGTATGACAAATGATCCCCCCCCCCCAGAGGAAACGGCCGCCGTTGGGGGATGGACTCCCCCTTCCCTAAACCCCACCCTCCCCCGGCTCCATTCCCAAATCTCCAGGAATGATCCCAAACTGGAGTTGGCAACCCTAAAGTGTACAACAAACATTAAGGCAACAGTAGACTGTAAACAATACAGAAAGTGGATCACGAGGTAAAAATAATGCAGTAAAAGCGGGGGATACCTACAATAATCATTGTATGGACTACAATCTTATTCCATACAATTTGCAAAATGGTTAGATTTTATGGAATTCTCACTGGCAACCCCCTCAACCACAACTTCTGTAATTCCCATAAAATACAAAGAAATAATAGTGTTATTTTAAGGTATATAGTCACACTGTCTATGAGTCAGTCTGTAAGTGTGTTTAGAGTTTAATGGTTTAAGTTGTAGTTTGGTTTATTTGTATTAATATGGATCTATATCAGAGGAAAAGATGTGTTATTTATAGACTATTTTATAAACTGTATTTGTCATGTATGAGAAATGTATATCCAACTTGCTTACATCAAGTTACATATTTATATGTAGTGTTATAGCCTATAGGAAAATTATAAAATAAAATGTTAAAAAAACAAAAACAAAGGTGCCTTCCTGGGTTGTTCATTCTACTACAGTTCTAATCCATTTTCGCAAGTGCCCTCTCAAACATTACTGCTTCGCACATTCCATGGGATGATTCGGTACGGGGTGGGGTGGGGGAGTCACCAAACTGGACCCAGAGAAAGGGAAATTAGCTTTGAAAGGCTCCCTTTATCCATGGCTGGATTGGATTAGCGATACTTTAGGGTTGCCCAGCTGCCTATAGCTGGGAATGGTTCACGTGGCCTTGATAAAGTGTCCCTCGGAGCAAGGGATACGATTGCATTAGGCATACCTTGGAGGTTAGCACTGAAAGGGGTCCCCCGCCCTTGAGAACAAATACGCCACTTTGAGCTGGGGGAGACGGCACAATTCCAGCACTGCTGTACCCAGGTGCCTTTATGAGACTCCCCAAGGTTCAGATCCCCCGACACTGCGGCCTATTCAAACAACCAAGTCCAAAATAAGAGGGGGAATCCCGCTGATCAAGGGGGTCTCGGCTGGAGGAGGGGACGGGGTCCTCGTACCACCCCCAGGAATGTGCGTGAGCAGGCAGCTGGAGATCTCGCCCATCGGCCGCCTGGCCCCTTTAGAAAGCTTGCCCTGAAGTGACGCTGTCGCAGAGAAGAACAGTGCGAGAGGCAGTCCTGTAGTAGAGATGTGGAGGCCAGGGAAGAACCTGGAAAATTCTGAAGGAAAAACTGTTTCCTTATTTTTTTCCCCAAGGCCTTTTCCCCCCAATTTTTCCATTGGAAAAACTGGAAAATGGGGGAACACTGAAAAGAAACTCCTATGAAATACCTCTTTTACAATGAGTAAAATGTTTCTTAGGGGCCGCAGTGGCTCAGAGGTTAAGACGCTGAAGCTGCAGACCGGAAGGCCAGTAGTTCATCAGTTCGAGACCCGAGTGTTGTGTGACAGAGTGAGCTCCCGTCTCTGGCCCCAGCTCCTGCCAACCAAGCAGTTTGAAAGCAAGAAATGGCAAGTAGATAAATAGGTACCACTTCGGTGGGAAGGTAACAGCGGTCCGTGCACCTCAGCGTTTAGTCATGTCAGCCACATGACCACAGAGACATCTTCGGACTTGGAAACGGAGATGAGCACCACCCCCTAGAGTCAGATTCGACTGGCTTTCTAGCAAAGGAAACCTTTACCTTTTTACCTTTAAAATGCTTTTTGAGGCAAGATTTTTCACATTCAAAATGTATAGCGTGAAAAGTCTGAGGACTTTTTCAAGTTTTTCAGAAGAAAAATGTGGCAATTGGGGGTAGTGCTGAAAAAAAAATCCTATCAAATAGTTCCTTTTTGAGTGAAAAAAACCCTGCTTTACAAAGAATTTCACTCATTCCAAATGTACAACTTCAAAAAGTCCGAGGACTTTCTCAATTTTTTTAAAAGGAAAAACGGAGAAATGTTACGGAGCACTGAAAAAAAAACTCTTAGACATACACCAGCATTTTCAGATGTTGTGTTTAAATAATTTGGCAATAATTAATATCACTAACAGAACAACGTTAAGAGTCCAGTGGCACCTTTAAGACCACCAAAGTTTAATTCTGGGCCCACTTCTTCAGATACATTCAGTTCAGTTCAGTCTATTTCTACAGTCCTTAGACCAGTCATACAGAAAGAAGTACGCCTTTATCTTCAGACACATTGAAAGAGACGTCCTCAAGCCTTACATATAGGCGGGAGGGGGAGGTTACTTGCCAGGACGGGCTAGTTAGAGTCAAGATGTATAAGTAATCTAATATGTCTAATCTAATGTCTTTAATGTGTTTGATAATAATACACAGGGGTCATTTCCTGCAGGAGCGCACAGGAGCGGAGCTCCGGCAGTAAGGAGCCCAGGGGGCGGGCACATGCAACAAGCCCCACCCCCTGCTCCCAGCAGCCCTCAGTCAGAGGAAGAAGCAGCCAGGTAAGTTGCAGAGCCCCCCCCCGGTCCAAAACAATCCAGTGGCACCTTTAAGACCAAGTTTTGTTCAGGTACAAGCTCTCCCTTCTCTGCGAGGACAGATCTGCACGTCCCCCCCAATAGCTAGCAATCCAAAACAGTCCAGTGGAGCCTTCTGACACACTTCCGGTGATGCCAAGGGGTGTGGCATATGCAAATAAGTTATGCTAATGAGCTATGCTAATGAGCTCCTCTTTTTCTACGAAATGACCCCTGATAATACATGATTACCTGAATCTAATAGATCTCTAATGTGTTTGATAATAAAACATGATAAAAGAGTTGAGCCTTTTTAGTGTTATAAACTTTAGCTTAATAACTTTAGCTTACGTACTGTGACTATATGAAAAAGTTTCGGTCCAAATAATATACTTTTTTTGTTTGCTACAAAATTTGCTTTCTACCTTTTCCCTACCTCTCAGATAGCAAAAAGTAAAGCTACACGTGCTATAACAGCATGGAGCATAGTGCTTTGGAACTCTTTCACAAGTAGTGGCTATACTTCTTCTTCTTATGCTTGCCATTTGTCTTTTAGGAGATGAAGATATTTATACTTCCAAGTTCCATAAACATGAAGAATAGTACAATTTTATATGCTAAGTTGTAAATAATTCATTTCCTGTTATTAAATGAGTAAGAGCCATTTTGATTTGATAGGAAATGGAGTATTGCATACATACATTTCCGTTTGCCAAAAATTTCTGTTCCCCTCTGCCCTCCCCCTCCCCCGAGGTTTCAACATTTCTGGAAATTTTACATCTCTGTCCTGCAGATAGGCGGGTCCAAGGGCATTAACTGTTATGTAAGTGACAACAGCGTTCCATGCGCCTTGGTGTTTAGTCATGCCGGCCACATGACCACGGAAACATCTTCGGACAGCGCTGGCTCTTCGGCTTTGAAACGGAGATGAGCACCGCAACCCTAGAGTCGGACTCGACTGGCTTTTGAGCAAGGGAACCTTTACCTTTACCTAGGTGATAACCAGAACCTAGAACTGAACTCAGTAAGTAATTAGTAATTAATAGAGTGCAGGGGCAGAGCCAGAACATTTTGGTTGGTGGGGCGTGAGAAAATCTAGGGAGGGGGGCGACCCGGCCCTGCCTTGCTGCTCCTCTTGCAGTAGCAGCAGCAGAAGAGTTGCGGCTCTGCTGCAACCTGTAGTCCTCCTCTAGTCCTTCCAATTGGAGAGACTTGATTCCAGGCTGCTTTTCTGTATAAGCCGGGGGGGGGGGGATCTATGACTCTCTCTCTTTTGCATTTTGCAATGTTATTTCATTTTCTGCAGTATTATTATTAATTATTATTATTATTATGCATTCTTAAAAACCTATTTGTTTTTTGGCCTGTACAAAAAGAAAATGAGACTGAAGTTTCTGTGCCTGTGCCTAGGGTCATTTTGGAATCCCCCACGTGCATCTTACTTTTTTTTTTTAATGTAAAAAAAATTTTCTCTTGAATTTCTTGTCCAAAGGTGTGAGGCTCATCTGTGGGGGGCATTGTCCCCAAATGCCCCCTCCCCCGGCTACGAGCCTGATAGAAGGACTGCAGAACGGGTGCGACATGCATGTTCCGCCTCGTGCTAGATCGTAACCAGGCTGCGGTGTTCTGCACCAAATGGGAGCTTTCTCTAAGAGCCGACCCAAGTACAGTGCAGTACAATAGTCTGCCCTCAAGGTAATCATAGCATAGATCCACATAGCCAGAGAGGAAGCGGTCCTCTATACCTCTGGTACCCAAAGTGGGCAATACCACCATCTGGGGGGTGCTGGAACGATCCAGGTGCAGATCCACAAACTGCATCTTTTTATCCACTTCTTGAAGATGGATTTCCAGGGAGGCACTGAGTAATTTTTTTTCTGAAAAGGGGGCAGTAGGCCAAATAAGTTTGGGAACCTCTGCCTAGACTAAATGTAGCTGGTAAAATGCCCTTTTGCAGCTGTGTTAAATCGGTTGTAATCTAATATGTAGTATATAATATTATATAATAATATATAATATAATATAATATTATATTATAATATATAATATGGAGCTGCGGTGGCTCAAGTGGTTAAGACGCTGAACTGCAGGCTGTGGAAGGTCAGTTGTTCAGCAGTTTGAGACCCGGGTGCCGCATGATGGAGTGAGCTCCCGTCTCTAGTTGCAGCTCCTGCCAACCTAGCATTTCGAAAGCAAGAAATTGCAAGTAGATAAATAGGTACCACTTCGGTGGGAAGGTAACAGCATTCCGTGCACCTTGGTGTTTAGTCATGCCGGCCACATGACCACGGAAACATCTTCGGACAGCGCTGGCTCTTCGGCTTTGAAACGGAGACCGCAACCCTAGGGTCGGATTCAAGCTTTCGAGCAAGGGAACCTTTACCTTTACCTAAATTGGTTGTCCAGGATGAACAGGGATTCATGGTATAGGGGGTGGCCCTCGTAGATCTCAAGATCTTGTCAACATCCATCCAAGTAACTGGATTAAACTGATCCATACATGGAGCAGGCAGTGTCCCAATTTCCCTAGGGTGGCATCCTTGTGACCACCATGAGGATGCGGCTATCACTTTAATTTTTTTTAAATTTTATTTTCATTATAAAGTAGGATACATAAAAGTTCAGAATAATGACAATAGTGGCAAACTTGTATCAAGGTAGGTAACATCAAAAAATCAGAAAAAATACAATTGCTTGTTTCAAAAAATGGAAAACTATACTTTCCACTCTAAATCAAGGGGTAAAGCAAAGATCAACAAACTTTTGGCATAAGGGTGCTAACTAAGTATCCAGTATATGTACAACTAGCAAATCAGTTAAATTTTTGCTGCCAATGTCGGGAGATGGTTTACATCCATTCCCTAAACTGCTGCCAAGAGGAGGGTAAGAAATCTTCTGTTGCTAAGAATTCCAATATAGGTTCCCATTTTTCCATTACAGGCTTTTCTATGGGTTTTGGGGTTAATCTATTAAGTTTGTTAGTAACTGAGTCCATAAGGAATTGGTCCCACAACTTTTGATACCAGAGACTCAATGTGGGCTATCACTTTAATGACAGGCTGAAATGCTGCAATGGCCCGATCCTGACTGGGCCGGCAACATGGCACTTCCCCCCACTCTGAACCAACCTCCAGAGAGCACTCCAGAGAGTTATCATCACAGCCCAGAAGATTATTGGCTGTCCTCTCCCGTTCCTGGAGGAATTGTATAGTTCTTGATGCTTGAAAAAAGCAAAGAACATTCTGCAGGATTTGTCACATCCTGAACACTCCTTGTTTGAACTGCTGCCTTCAGGTAGAAGATATAGGACAATTAAAACAAGGACAAACAGATTAAAAAACAGTTTTTATTCGAGAGCTATTATTGCTTTAAATGCTGCATGAAGTTGGAATTTGGGTGACATCGGTGGTTTAGGTTGCAATGTGAACCTTAAGGGAGTTATGGGATGGTTGTGAATGGTTGTGTGAGTGTATATGTGTATGGCTGTAGATCACTAAAATGATTGCACCTTTAATTTCGTTGTACTGTGTACAATGACAATAAAGTATATTATTATTAACCTGTAGTCTATCCTTTAAATCATCCTTACAACGATTCTCACCATGAGCCTTTGCCTACCCACCACCCTCCTCTTTCCCAGCATGGCACTCACCTCCAAAGAAGTAGTGGTTCCCTGTGCGCAACTGAATGTTTCGGTCAACACGGACGCTGGCATCATTCTGGTCATCAATGGTTATGACCGCTGAGGTTTCATGCACCTTCAGGAACACTGAATGCCAGAAGCCATCATTGAGACGATAGCCTGGGGGGGGAGGGGGGACAGAAGAAATTCAGCACACTTGGGAAGACTGTTAATGACCATCTCCTCCCTAGCTTCCCAAGCCTACTCTTCATGCTGGAGCCCCAGGTATAGATCCATAGCACCTCCAGTGAAACCTTTGCTCTGTAAAGGTACTGAGGTGGATCCTACATAGGGCTACCAAGTACTTATCGCGAATCGGTGGGGGACGTATAGTTCTTGGCGGGAACATTCCCGCGGGGAAAACACAGGCGCTGCACAATCCTGCCGCCCAGACATGACGTGGGCATGTAGCCGGGCAACGCTCTGGCAATGGGGCTGAAAACTCGATGGTACCATCGAGTTTTCAGCCCCATTGCCAGAGCGTTGCCCAGCTACATGCCCACGTCATGTCTGGGCGGCAGGATTGTGCAGCGCCTGTGTTTTCCCCGCGGGAATGTTCCCGCCAAGAACTATACGTCCCCCACCGATTCGCGATAAGTACTTGGTAGCCCTATGTAGGATCCACCTCAGTACCTTTACAGAGCAAAGGTTTCACTGGAGGTGCTATGGATCTATACCTGGGGCTCCAGCATGAAGAGTAGGCTTGGGAAGCTAGGGAGGAGATGGTCATTAACAGTCTTCCCAAGTGTGCTGAATTTCTTCTGTCCCCCCTCCCCCCCCAGGCTATCGTCTCAATGATGGCTTCTGGCATTCAGTGTTCCTGAAGGTGCATGAAACCTCAGCTGTCATAACCATTGACGACCAGAATGATGCCAGCGTCCGCGTTGACCGAAACATTCAGTTGCGCACAGGGAACCACTACTTCTTTGGAGGTGAGTGCCATGCTGGGAAAGAGGAGGGTGGTGGG